AACAGTTGCCACATATCTGAAAGTGAATATCTTCTCCAAAAGAATTCCTTATTTTTTTAATAAGGATGTATTGGAAGTAATTTCATCAATAATGGAAGATCCAATTACTGGTCTTCTGGATTAAGGCATTCTTTTATTGCAAGATTTTAATGGTAGAGTGGTAAGTTCAAACATTGCCAATGAAATCTCAGACTAATTAAATGATTATAGCCTAAGGGGAAGGGCAACGGAGACTCCACTATTAATCTTACCAAGAATAGCCTCTATGTGTGATGAACGGATGAATATATATACCTTATTTCAGAAGGAAAAAAAAAATAAGGAGTTGTTTTAAAAATGATCAGTTTAATTTCTGAATAAGAAGGAAGGATAACATTGCATTATAAAGTCCTTTCAGCTGCTTGTGGAAGGCATGGACTGCAGTGATGAATTGAACCCAATCAGTTTCATCAGGAGTTCATTTATTCAGATGTTTAGAGGTGGCACAAAAGTAACAGTGACAATAATGATCACCAGTACTTAATGAGAACTCAGTAGGGTCCAGGCATTCTGGCTTGTCTCGCCCTCATTTTACAGATAGGGAAACTAAGGCACAGAAGGTTAGTAACTCAAGAGGTAATTGCAGAGGAGTGTTTAGAATTCTACAGCCTCTCCTTCACTGTTAGCCACCAGCCTCCGAACAGTTCTATTTTCTGTTACCCTGCTCACCTGCTTGTAGGAAACCAGTGGCAGCTCTCAAATGGAAGACGGGTACAGGAATCCAAGGTGGAGGCTGACATCCAAACGTCCTCCAGGAAGCACTGCCTGTTGCCTGGCATGTTGAAATGGGGCTTTCTGCTAAAGGCTGGGACAGCAGTTTCTCCGTGTTTTAAAAGTCTGTTTGGTAGCAGCACCTCTCCACCTGGACAGTAGCTCCCCACTGGACCTCTTCACACCTGTTTCATGCCTACAGGAAAAATGGAGGCACATCTCCTTCAAATTTATTTTTGCTGTGTGTGTGTGTGTGTGTGTGTTTTCATGTGTTTGATCTTTTCATGACACTTTATTTTTCTGGAAGGAGACAAGTGATGGGTGTCTGAGTATTGTTAGTTCTGAAATGTCAGACTTGACCTTGACGTTGCCTTCCACACTATGGGGAAAGCCTCAGGGACCAAGTCAGTCCAGTCCTTCATTTGGGAACAGATGGAATCTTTAAAAGTGCTCTAACATCTTTAAAAATATATAGTTCCACAATTTTTCCTTATGAGGCCTTAATATTCAGGGGAAATGTGGCATGTGACATTAAGGGCATTTTCATTATTCCATTTTGAGAATAATTTTTATCAGAACAGATCCTTCTTTTAGCGCCCTTGATAATCACATCATTTGTTTTATGAAATTCGTGTACGTCGAGTTAATGTTTTTGAGGGAAGAGTGAGTTTTTCTAGATCTTATAGAACATGAACACTGGCTATAGAAGTCCTAGTTTAAAATAAAAATTTTCTTATTCCTTGGCATTTGCAACTAACCTGAGCTGGCCTGGAAGTCATTTAATAGTCATATGCAGATTGCTTTTGTCAGCACTCAGAATGGGACAAGCAAATGCTTGAATTTGGACAAGGTCCATCCTGTGACAAATAACATGTCAACCATTTCCAATATTGCATCAACTACAGATGAAAATGAGAAGTCATATTTTGGGGTGACTTCCATGAGATTAAGTGGCTGAGGTTTTGAATTTGAAAAATGACTCACTTAATAGTATTCCTTGAAGGAAATCTCTACTTTTAGAGGGAGCTTGAAAAACTATGATTTGTGTAAATAGGGAGGCTAGAAATAGAAAATGAATCTTTTCATTACAAAAACCTGTAAATTTTCCAATGTATTGTCAACTTAAACTGAAATTGATGAGAGTAGGAGTGGGAAAGAGGGATTGAATGGACAGCAGTTTCTCCTGCTTTAAAAGTCTGTTTGGTAGCAATACCTCTCCATCTGGACAGTAGCTTCCCACTGGAGCTATTATTGTACTGCACAAAATTTTTACATAATAAGGAACTTTTATTCCAAATATATTTTTTTGGAATTTAACACTGATGCTGAGCAATAGACATAATAATCCTTCCCACAGCTGGTATCTTTGACCTACGGTCAAAGCCCTCCAACATATAAGGACATGTGGGACCCTGGTGAAGGTTCATGTCACAGTACCCTTTCACTTGGAGATAATTAAATGTGTTCATTGTACCTATAAGTCCTTATAAGGATCTTCCTGGTTGGGGTTCTTCTTTCCAATGTCAGTCTCTCTTCCACAACTACTTCCTGGCTCCATAGGAATAAATCAATTTTTTTTTTTCCAGGCCAGAAAAATCCCTGAGTTCAACCTTGGACTCAATCTCTCTTTTTGCTTTTAAATTTACTAGGTATTACCTCCAATAGCACTGGGTTGTAATGTCGCCCAACTTCAGTTAGGGTGCTTCTCATTTGGAACTACTACTTAAATAAAGTGAATTAATCACCAGCTCTATTAATCCTTCAAAATCCATGATTCCGTAATGCTCGGTTTGCTTAGAGTGATTCACTGTATTTGCTCCTTCTCAGACGTGACTTCTTGCTGAGCTTTAGGTTAGTTCCTTTCAGACAATATGCCTTGAATCTTGGATGATTTATTCACTTTCAAGTTCCCTGGAATTTACCACTAAAGGTTGACGTGAATGCTCACAGTTTGGACTCAATATAATCTTCTGAATGGCAATTAATAAATAAAAGATGGTTACTATTGTTGACAAAGGATCCCAGCTTTCTCAGTTTTTCTCTTCATGTTTTTGCCAAACTTCATGTCAGACACCCCTAGGGGTGATGGTAGAAAATATTTTTTTGTTAATGCCAGTGCTTTTTTTGTTATCTCAGTACCTCCAAACTCCGATGTTGCCCTGTGTTTTCTTGTCAGAAATGATCTTATTCACTTTCTGCTTCTTCAATTCACCCTCTTTCCTGTGAATATGAGAAACATAGCTCTTTCTGGATTTAAGAGCAACATTTCCTTAATATTTGTGCTTGCAAGTAACACCTGAAAGATGTCCCCAAAATTTCTTAGGTTTTTGTTTTCTTTGCTTGGTCTCATTTCTGTCACTTATTGAATATGCAGTGTCACCTCTAAAATGTAGTGTTCATCATCACTGTGTATATTATTCAAAGTGTGAAGTTGCCTCCTGGAAGTTCATGACATAACCATAAAGCAGTATCCAATTTTTGTAGTTTGCCTGCTTGACTAGGCTCCAGAGATAATCTAGGCTATCATTCTCATTTTAGAAGTGAAGAAAATGTAGTCCAATTTAAGTAGTTTCATCATAATCAGGTAGAGAGCAGAGACCGAACCCACCTTTAGGAAGTGAGGCACTTGATACCTAACAGAACAGCAGGAGTTTGGCTGCCTTTGGTCAGTTCCCAGTTGGGATGCTTATTAAGTGTTGCTTGAGGAAGTTATTTCAGTTTTCTCATCTGTAAAATGCTGACAGTTTTGCCAGTAGCAAAACTGTAAGAATTATCGAAATTTAGTATAAGTGAAGCACTCATCTAGGGCTTGGCACATACTAAGGAGTCCATGCCTTGTTAGTTATCAGCATTATTGTCATTATTTTGACTACAGATATAAGAGTGTGTATAGTATTTGACTTTGCATGGAGATATATATATATATATATATATATATATATATATATATATATATATATATGCATTAGACCTTTGCTGTACCTCTTTTGTATTCCTGTGTTACCTAATGCAATGTTAGGCAACTAATAGTTGTGTTCATGTTAGTATTGGTAGTAGAAGCAAAAATAGTGATGATAGTAATGAAAGGTAGTACTGTTTATTGAGCCTTATGATGTATTAGGCATCAAAAGTAGGCACTTTATGTACATAATTCATAATAGGTGCTCAATCCATATTTATTGGAAAACTGCACTGTAGTTTGTTTCTAGAAATGCAAGCGTACCCTCTTGATGACAATAATCTCCCTCGTAACTGGAGGGGAACATGAGCTTTGGCCCGGGTGAACAGCTCTGAGTATAGAAATGAGAGCCTTGATGGGATTCCTTTCATCCTTAAAGTAATCCTTGAGCTGCTATATTTATATCATCTAATCTTGTTATTGGTAATTGGAAGACTGGATGGGAGTGGGAAAGGAGGTCAAGAAATAGAGTAGAAGGGAGCAGGTGCAGAGTGGGACAAATTATACAAATGAACAATAGTATATATCCCAAAACAGATGATTAAAGTTAAGTCATGTTTTATTTTCTCTGTTTTTTAATTTTATATTATATAAAAAGACTGCCCTTTTCCTAGTTCCCAAATAGAAATACATTTGGAACAATAGTATGGACACAGAAAAGTTGTTTCCTGTCTTATTTTGCTTTATTTATTTACAGACTGACTAAATTACATTGATAGCCACTAGGGAAAGGTAAAGCGTTCAATCACAAAAATTACAATTGCTAATGTTCCTTGATTTGCAGACACAATATGTTCCTTAATGATCATATAAAATAACTATGGTAATAATAAGAGATACTGTGTGTGAGAGTGCCTGGAGTGGATACCAATAGAGAAGCACTCCTCAGGTCAGGTATTGTGTTTGTGTATCTGGCAGTGTATGTGTGCACACACATATTGTGTGTATGTACCACCATGCATTTAATCTCTGTGCATAGTAACAGCCTTTCAAATTCACATATGTGTGCATTGATAGACGTGCAAAACTATTTCTATGTATAATATAGATTTAAGTATTCTCAAATCTTAACCACCACTTTAGAAAAAGAAATTGTGGCTCAGACTAGTCTAACCACTTATTCAAGTTCATAAAAAAAAGTGGCAAAGCTGGAATTGGAACCCAACCCCTACTCCTCTAACCCTGCTTTTTGAAGAAACCCAAACAGAAATTTCCTTGGAGCTACAGTATTTCCATGATACCACACTGTCCCAGTATGGGAAGGGTGACCTTTTCCCCCTTTCTTTTACAGAATCTCCAAGCAAAGATTTTGGTCCAACTCTGGGCTTAAAAAAGTCCAGTTCCTTGGAGAGCCTGCAGACAGCTGTGGCTGAAGTCAGGAAAAACGAACTCCCCTTTCACAGGCCTCGGCCACACATGGTTCGTGGCCGTGGCTGCAACGAGAGCTTCCGAGCTGCCATTGACAAATCTTATGATGGACCCGAAGAATTAGAAGCTGGTAGGCCAATATGCTCCCTTAAGTGGTTTTTGCATCTCATTATCATCTGCAAATCATAGGCAAGAGTGTGCATTTAACTACAGAGAAAAATGATTTAAGGGTTACAATTATATTTTTGATATTAAAAGTAATTCATTTTCCTGATATGTTTTGCCCTTTGGCTTAACGAACATGGAATTGGAGAACGCAATATGCAATTTATTTTACAGTGCAAATGGTAAAGAAATGTTCTCCTCCGCTTTCCTGCAAGGACCAACTGTCATTTACCCTTAGGGTAGGAGTACTAAGTGTGCATTTCTTGACATTCTTATTTGAGTCATTAAAAGCAGCATCAACCCGAGGACTGACTGCATTAATTGAGTAGAAGCAGTTGGGTAATATTTGTACTCAAAAACCTCTCCTGGAAAGTCGCTAGCCCTGTTTGTTTCCCAGCAGGTGGGCTTTCTGAGCTGATCAAGGTTAACAAGCCAGCTTTCAGAAAGATTAGTGTTTTAGCACATTCAGGCCTTTCATAGGACTGGCTAAGCAACCAATGGACCCCCTCCCAGCCTCCTACCTTGCTTGAAGTAACCAGATTTAGGCAGTCTGTCTTCAAAGGGTACAAGTCCCCACATGCAAGGGTAGAACTCGCAGCACTTCTATTCATTCTTCTGTATTTTACATTTTGACTTTTCTTTATATACTAACCGTATGTGCCCCTGACCAAGTGTATTGATTTTCTTTCTTTCTCTGTACAGACGGTCTGTCCGATAAGAGCTCTCACTCGGGCCAAGGAGCTCTGAATTGTGAATCTGCCCCTCAGGGGAACTCTGAGCTAGAGGACGTGGAAAATAAAGCCAGGAAGGTAAAAAAAACGAAAGAAAAGGAGAAGAAAAAGGAAAAGGGCAAATTGAAAGTCAAGGAGAAAAAGCGCAAAGAGGAAAATGAAGACCCAGAAAGGAAAATAAAGAGGAAGGGATTTGGTGCCATGCTGAGGTACGGGGCTGCTTTGAAGGCAGAGTTGCTTTTGTTTTGCTTGGTGAAATCACTCATTTGTGTGCATTCAGAAACAAAGTGCAAGCTTTCCCTCATCTCCAGCTAAATACATAAAAAATCAAAACTGTGAATGTGCATGTTGCTTTTCCATAGAGGCTTCTGAGGCTTATAGTGATGACAGAAAACTGTCCCTACGTCCGATGTCAAAGAAAGGCCAGTGCTTATTAGGGCACAGGCAATGCTGCAGCTCCATGTAATGGAGCTATCCATCTGCACAGGGAAGCAAGAGCTAGGAGTCCTTACCCATCATCTCCTTTGAATCAGGGTAGTCATGGTTGATGAACCTCATCCCACGGTGACACTAGGTGTGTGGATAGCCAGGTCTCCGAGCATGGTATGGTCAGGACCAGAGGCACTGTGATGCAGCCTAGATGTCCCTGGGTTTGAATCCAAATGATCTGAATCCAGGACCCTCCACACACGAGCCACAGGGCTTCACCCACATTGCTTAACTTCTCTGAACCTTACTTTCAGAGTGAGGCTGGCATACCTGCCCTACTAATCCAGTGGGGTTGTGACAAGATTTCATATGCAGTGGGTTCTGTGGCTAGGCATGGCTCAGCAGGGCACAGTCAGAAAACACTTTTATTTCTTTTCCTATGGCGATTTTCAAAAATACCCTGTGGGGCTGTCTTCTCCACATCTTGACTTCTCCGCTTTCTTGCCGATAGTTTTAAGGTCACTTTCAGATAATAAAACAACGTCTTTGTCAGGGACTCGAACAACCAGTCCAATATAAACTGAAATTTTCCTCCTCTTTGCCCCTTGGACCTTGACCCCAAGGGATGACCCACAGTGTGGTGGGAGGTGGGATTCACCTTCTCCTCCCTGTCAGTCTCTGTGACCACGGGAAGGAGAAAGACGATATTAAACAAGAGTGAATTTTACTTAAGTTTTGTCTCTGGCCATCAGTGGCTTTTTATGGGCCACTTATGTGAACTGTTCAAGAAGCTCCTTACTATACCAGTTGCTGACTTCCCAAGGACCCCTTACACTTGCCACTGACCTCAGACAGTCAACCCCTGGCATCTCCTAACCCCATCTGATAGACTTCTTAAGACAGTGGCAATTTGAGATGGCTCAAACCAAATTGAAGTAGCATCTGCTTGGCCCACAAGAACCACTGCCTTCTCAACCACCAGATATTGCAAGAACAGCTTGTTCCTATGGCTCTCCTTTCTCCTCACTCCAACACGTTTCCAACCAGCCTCACATCTGCAGACCTCTCCAGAGCAAGTCAAGCTCCTGTCTTGGGTCTCCCCACCTACAACTTGATGTCAGCCTCTGTCAAGAATGATCTCATACCTGGGGGAAAGTCATTTTTGCAAGTCACAGTGAAACTCTGGGGATTTTCTTGTAGTCCCTTGCTTATTTTGTTGGGGTGAAAAGTAGAAGTACCCCCTTTCCATTGCTTTTTTTTTCCTCCTTTAATTTCTTATCAATTAATCTCTATACTTCTCTTGCATGAACTAAGGTGAATGATAGTATATGATAGTTGGTAAGCGAGATTGGTCACCTCTTATGAAATCCTTAAGCGATATCTCTCTTAAAAATTGCAGTTGTTGGGCTGGGGATGTGGCTCAAGTGGTAGTGCACTCACCTAGCATGCGAGAGGCACTGGGTTCGATGCTCAGCACCACATAAAAATGAAATAAAGATATTGTGTCCACCTAAAACTAAAAAAATAAATATTTTTTTTTCTAAAAATTGCAGTTGTTAGTGGAGTGTGGTGGTGCAAGCCTGTAATCCCAGCTACCCTGCAGCTGAGGCAGGAGAATCATGAGTTCAAAGCCAGCCTCAGCAAAAACAAAACACTAAGCAACTCAGTGAGACCCTGTCTCTAAATAAAATACATAATAGGGCTGGGGATGTGGCTCAGTGTTTGAGTGCCCCTGAATTCAATCCCTGTTACCAAAAAAAAAAAAAAAAAAAAGTTGCAATTGTCATATGGTACCAGATGTTTTCAGTTAGAGATCTTCAACTGACATTTTTAAACAGACAGAGAAGTTTCTCCCTCCCTCTCTCCTCCTTTCTTTTCTACCCCCTCCCCTCCTCCTCTCTCCATTCCTACCCTGTGTGTGTGTGTGTGTGTGTGTGTGTGTGTTTGTGTGTAAAAGTGTTAAGTGAACTTTAAGGGACACAAATGATACTGACAGCTCTGGGTCTTCCCATTACATTCCCAGTGCTCATAGAATGCTATTCCGGTGTCCTCCTGCTCAAAATATGCTGTGGTCCTGCTCACACCTGGACTGAGGTCACTCCAGCAGGTCTGATTATCCATCTGATTATCAAAGAAAAAAATTTCAACAAATTGAGTTTCAAAGATCAAATTGGACCTTATTACCAACTCATGCATTGGGCAGCATTCTCACGGCAGAACTGAAAGGCACTTGTGTGAGCTGAGCAGAGGTGTGAGTTTTAACAACAGGAAAAACCTGAGAAAAGCAAAAACAAGAAATAAAAACTGAGTTGGTCATTTCAAAATTATTTTCCTTATAGGGTTTCAGCAGAGACTTCCTCATCACCCTGCTCACTATGAATAAACGTGTTTTGATGGGTTTCCATGATCTCCCATTTGTTTTTGTTGGTGGTGGTGGGTTGATTGGTTGGTTTGGTTTTGTTTTTAAACTGGCCCATTTCTGAATTCATTTGGATCATGTGATTCCTAGTCTTTTGTAGCTCAGTGCAGGAACTCAGCCCAAAACAATGGCCTCCATTTTACTTTGAATGACCTATATCCCAATTTATACATAGGCATTAGTTTATTTTTCCTAGTGGTCTCTGTAGATTCAGTCTCTCCTTTTGCCACCTTGAATTTAAAATTTTCTCTTATTCTGAGTAATTATTACGGTTTTACTAAGTTATGGACTATGACTAAAGCCTCTTGGCGATTATTATAACCTGCAACTGCAGTATATTTAGACTCTGCATGTAGACTTCTGAGTTCAATCCTGACTCTTCTGTTTTTTGTCTTGGTAATATTGGGCAAATTATTTAACCTCTGTGCCTCAGTTTCCTCATCTGACAATGGAATAATAATAGAATATACCATTATTGTGATAATTACATTTGTTTAATTATATGTAACATGATTATAACTCTGCTAGGTAAGTAATAAACATCTAATAGTAAACATAACAATGATCCCCTAAAGATGTCCATGTCCTCATCCCAAGTACCTGTGTGTGTGTTATGTTGTATGGCAAAGTAGAATTGAGATTGAAGATGAGATTAAGGCTGCTGATTGACTCACTTTCAGTTGAGGATTATCCTGGGTTTCTTCTGTGAGCCCAATCTAATCACAGGGTCCCTTAAAAGTGCAAGAGGAAGGTATGACTAAGGAAGCAGGTGCAAAGAAATGCAGTGTTACTGGCTGTAAAGATCAAGAGAGGGGACAATAAGCCACGCAAGACAGGGGCCTCTAGAAGCTAGACACAGTGAGAAAGTGGATTCTCTCTGGCCAAGCCCTTAATGTTAGTCCATTTTTGTTTTTCAAGTCACTAAATTTGCAGAAATTTCCTACATTATCAATAGAAAACTGGTAAGTTGTTGTTGTTGTTATTATTATTATTATTATTATTATTATTATTATTTTACACTTTCAGTAATTTATAAGGAAAATTTCCTTTTTAATGTATTAAAAACTAAACAAACTAACTTAACTAGAGTGGTATATAAGTATAAAATCTGTTAGGTATTTGCATATTCTACTTCCTAGAATGTTACTAAACTAAACTTTAACTTCATGTTTTATTTTACATGGTTTGATTTGGCAGATTCAAACTTCATTGCTTATAAGAGCCAACTCTTCCCTTTTGTTGTCCAATATTCTCTATATTTTCATGTAGGAGAAATTTCTAAAGGATCCAGCACCTGTGGAACCTTTAGACATCTAGCACCTTGGGTTTTATTTCCTTCCACTATTTTAGCAAAATTAAGATCTGAAAGGTGATGTTTGATTTTATCTTCAGTATAAAAATAGCAACTGTTTTCCATAGCCTTTTGCATGTGAGTTTGTGAGCATATTGGAATTGCTGCTACATGCACATTTTCAACAACAAAGAACACAAAGGCTGTTACCATTAGCCAACAGATTTTGCTTTAATTCTCATCTGTTGCTCAGATGCTATTGACTGACTTTCTTTCTTATTTAAAAAAGATTGATTGCTGTAAGGTTCTCTTGGAGTTAGATGTGACTTAAATATGCATTATTTTTCCATTATCTGCGTTTCTCATACACACACCTGAAGATTTTGGTGTTGTTCTGCAGTTGTACGGTGTACAGGTGCCCCTGGCCAAAATGATAAGTAAAGACATCAATTCTTCCTCCCTCTCCTCACCAAACCATGAATCACCAGAGTGTCAGTGTGTGAGCAGTAGCCTTGTACTTTCTTCTAAAAAGCCACGGTGTGTGCTTTGAGGATTATTAGCTGGTCTGTTCATGTGGGTTACATATAGCAGTCCATTCTATCTCACTTGTTAATTCAGCCTATTTCTGATCCTGTTGAAAAAGCATGAGGGATCTCTGTCATTCACATCTTTCTATATGTCACCTCGTTCCAGTATTTGCTGGTTTCAACCAATCTCCTTCCACAATTCAAGTGTAGCTCTTACACAAGAAATGGATTATTGTGAGAAAATATGCAGTTCAAGAACCTGTCTGCTTTTGTAGTTCCCCGTATGCCCTGTTACTGCCACTAAAAGATCATTTCAGTGGGTCAAGAGGCTCATATCTTTCTATTGTGTGTTTGACTTCCTTGGGCATTATGCTCTTTGTGGCACCACGCTGCAAAAAGGCCACACAGCTTCCACAGCCAGACTGCAGCACTCAGACCCCTTCAACAGATGAGCTCATTGTATCCATCCATGGCCACCATCTTGGAGCCCAGAAGATGTTTCAGTGCCCAGGCACTGAGGATAAATGTCTTTAGGCTAAAAAA